GGGGGGGGGGGCATACTCCAACAAGAGGAAAGGCGATGACGATGAAGGCATTCTGAAGAGGTTTCACTGTCGGTTTGGGGAGTAAATATGGGCAAGAAGCGGCAGCAAGAAGCAAAGCCGTCGAACAGCAGCACAACTGCAAATGCTCCCGAAGGAAATTAGCCAGGTCATACCATCCAATTGTTTTAGCGAAGCGGAGAACGGCTTCCTGTGATTTATTTAGCTTGGCATCCTCGCCGTGATGATGATGGCCGTGGTGGTGGTGATGGTGATTGTCACTGTGTTGATGGTGACTGTGGTGATGATCGTGGTCATCGTGATGACGATTGTCTTGGCTCTGAGCAACACAATGGATCGCCCAGTATCGCAGTGACGGAGAATTAAGCGAGTAATGGAATGGTTTGCGAGGTAAAGAGGAAAATGAGATTTGGTTATATATGGGATTGATCGAACAGACGCCCCTTCTTCTTCTCCTGGAACTCGGTATACAGAATGTTTTACTTCCTCCGATTGCAAAAGAAACAGCTTCCATCATCTCAAGTTCGAAAATTCCCTCTTTTTTTTCGGTACAAATTTCAAGTCATCAAGTAGCAGATGAAAGAATACGGGGCAAATTTGGTGGAAAGAGAAGCCGGCAGCGATGACTCGGGAGAGCGAATTAGAGCCTCTAGCTCTGCGGAGCCCGGAGAGCGGAGAGGTGGGAGTGGGGACTTTCGGTACTTTTCAGCCGTGGCTTTTGTTAATTGTTTGATTGGGTGTTGTCATATCCTCCACATCATGTGCTCATGCGACTTCAAAGAAGACGATTCACGATGCTCCCATCCTTCCGAATTCACATCACTCTCTTGCGATTCCCAATCAAACATGGGCACGTCGACGTCGCAAGGTAATCACTAAAATCGGAGACCAGATCTGCTCCTCATTCAGGGCGCCTCACACCGACCTCACAGACACATCCCACTTTACATTGGGAACATCGTTCGTATTTATACGTTATTATTCACTGGAAATATTCCCCATACATGGTGAGATCTGCATGTGAGATCGATGTGAGACGCCTTGTGTAAAGAGCAGATCCCAATTCCTCGAAACAACTTTTCTCGATAGAGGAAGGGGTAATGAAATTCTCATAAGTCATTCGAGCCAGTCAAAAGCTCTGGCACGAGGTAATCTCTTCTTATTAGCGAGACGAAGATCTATCTATCGTTAACATTGGGAGAAGCATGGCTCGGTGCCTCGGTGTGAATCGGTGTTGGATGCCGAGTGTAGAGTTATTAGACGTGTGGCCTCCAGTAATAAGTTCATTAACAAGCTCTGGTTGGGGATGGATAGTCGGGAAGCAGTCAATGTAGTGAAAGACAGCCTCTCCCTGATCCCTCAGATGACTAACCAGCTGATTAGTGATTAGTAACTTTCAAGGTTTCAACAATTCATCGATGAGCAGGAAGATGAACGGCGTGGCTTATGAGGCAATAAAGCATGAAATACCTCGGGGGATTCTCTTATTTGAATCCCGGGAGTAGTCCTCAATGGCTCATCAACATTATTTGATTATTGTACAACATACTCCCCATCTGATTTCACAATTCAGTAAAGCTTGCTTTTAATTATCAAAAAAATTTATCTTTCCAAAAAAAATATAAAAAAAACAAGTCTTGTTGATCATGGTTGCAGCATATATGCTCTGTCTTGATAATCTTGTAAAACTTAAATAAAGTCCTTTTTGCAACAAATAAAAATGAAGTCTTTGAACGTCAAAAATACTTAATTTATTGCGTGAAGCATAAAAAGAAAATGGTTGCTTTTGGACTAGGGATGGGGAGTGATGAAGATAAAAATTGACCACAAGGGCGAGGATTGTTGGAATAGGGTGTCACATCGTCTCAGAGTATTAGCTCGGCTAAACACTTAGCTGCAAAGAGAGACCTGAAATCATACAAGACGTCAAAGGCCCTGGGGTGATATCATAGGGACATGGACTCTGACGGTTAAGTCAATAAGACCAAGGGAAAATAAAGTGAGTTGGAAAGCCTAATGAGTTGAGTTGAGAGCTCGTGTTGAGAGCTAGAAAGCTCCATGTGATGAATTTGAATAGCTCGTAGGGGGAGCTGGAGAGCTCCATGTGATGAGTTGAAGAGCTCATAGGGGGGAGCTAGAGAGCTCCATGTGATGAGCTGAATAGCTCGTAGGGGGAACTCGTGAGCTCCATATGTTGAGTTGAAGAGCTCATAGGGGGAGCTGTTGAGCTCCATGTGGGAAGTTGAAAAGCTCGTAGGGGAGTTGGTGAGCTCCATGTGATGAGCTTGAGAGCTCGTATAGGGAGTTGGTGAGATCCATGTGACGAGCTGAAGAGCTCGTAGGAGGAGTTGATGAGTTCCATGTGATGAGCTAAATAGCTCGTAAGGGAAGCTAAAGAACTCCATGTGCCAAGGTGTCTGACGTATCTTGTGCATAGTAGCATAAGTAGCATTATGCCCCTCCCCCCAAATGAATGAGAGCTCGCCTATTTAAAGGGAGTGGTTTTCATCCAAGAACCGACATGTCTCTCACACGTGATCGGAGCTTGGTCCACTTGTCACACCCTTGATTGACACGCTATATGCACATAGTAGGTAGTGAGCCTGCATGGATTGCGCTAACATTGATGTTCTAATCAGCTTGGCCACGTGTTGCTTGTGCATTCTATGAGTTGGTGCCAGATCAACTTGTATATATTAGGTCAACATGTCAAAACCAGATTATCTCATTAGGACTAGGTCAACTCATAGCTCATTAGGACCTGGTTAGCTCGCTAAAACAGGTTAGTTTGTAGCTCATTAGGACCCGATCAACTCGTAACTCGTTAGAACCAGGTCAGCTCATATCTCATTAGGACCAGGTCAGCTCGTAGCTCTTCAGGACCATGTTCAATTGACAAGCCCCCAACATATTGCCACTTGGCGGTTTCTACCTGGTGGTCGATTTTGGCCTTATCAGGGACTGGGAGTGAATTCCCCGCCTCACCCAAACCCCAATTATATATATATATATAGTTTTATTTATATTATTTATATCAAAATATATTTAAATTATTTTTATATCTTAAAATTTTTCATTAGTTTAAGTAAATCTATTTTTTTTAATAATTTTAGTTTAAATTTTTTGAGGATTTAGTTCCCCAACAGAGACTCTGAATCTCCTATTCGCAATGACTCTACCTATGCATACCCACAAAATACTAACTTTGTGTATTGGGAACATCTTTCCCCATGCATAATAACGTGTAAGAGGATGAGATGTTCCTCACCTGTAGCTGCAATATTATGTGGGTAAGTGTGTATAGAGTTGTCATGGGTGGGAAATCTAGACTCCCTAACAGGGAATCCATCTCCATCATGGATTGGGGATGGAGAGTCTTTTTTATCCCTGGTGTTATAGATGGGGATTTATTTCAAAGTCAGGGTTGAAAACGAATAATATAATCTCCACCCTTAACCATCCCCCATTGCCATTCCCATTTTGGGTAAACCTCAATATTTGTGTTTTTAAAGCCTGGAATTGGTTGAACTGCTTTAAAGTCGGAGTTTCAACAAAAAGCCATTGTCATAAATAAAATACAATAAAGTTAGGCCTTTGCACCAAAACAATCAAAATTGCTTATAAACTGTTATGGTGAAAGTCACCTTGCACCGCCAAAAGGCTACAAGAATTTTGTGTATTGAGATTTAAAAATGGTTTGGTTTCAAATTGTCACGTCTTTTTAAAAAGCAACTATCACCAAAAAAATGCTTAAAAACACATATAGCTTCCTTTTGTGTGTGTGTGTGTGTGCTTCCCATGGCCCATAACTCGAACAAACGAAAACTTATCAAACGGAGCCAATTCTAAAGCTTGTGTTGATTGCCTATAAAGCACATAACAAATTATTTGCTACTTAATCATACACAACAATTGGATGAATATGTTAAGGGGGGTGATCGGAAACACACTCCGGATCTCCTACCCACAAAGTAGGTGTTTAGGAACGTTCTTGTTTCTTCACAAAATAACACCACATAAGAAATCTGTTTTATGAGAAATTACATGCTTTTTGATTGGTCATTTAAAAAATAAATTCTCATACCACGTCAAAGAAATCAAGAAAGTTGTGTCGTGAGAAAACACCATTTTCTGGTGTTTTTCCGTTTTTATACAGTTACTAGCAATGATGTGTTGATATGGTGTTGAAAAACACCTATGTGGCAGCAACAACAATGGTACCAAATAGAAGATCTAAGAAAACATTATATGAGAAAATGCCTCTCAAGAAACAACATCAATCCCAAACATCGCCAACGTTATCCCACATTCCTCTCACAAGATACTACCACTTGTATTGGGAATATCTCCCCGTGAATAACAAGGGAAGCATTCCCAATGCATGCTTCTATTGTCTTGTATTCAAGGATGTTAGAAGTGTGGACAAGAGATCTAAGTTATGAACAACTTGGTTTGTTTGATTTTGTTGATGTGGCTATTATTTTTTGTTTACAAACACAAACCAAGTATGTTGTTCGAGTTAACATCAACACCCCATAGAATGCGCCTTATGGGCATCCCATAGCAAATCTGAACCGTGTACTAGAACATCTCCCAATGAAAAGTATGGGAAATGTTCCCTATGCATGTTGAGATGTTCATATGGGGCACTAATGTGATCTCATGTTGTTCGGGCACCCCCTAAATAATTGCAAATAATTTTTTTTTATGATTTCCCTTTAAATTCCTGCAATCTATACTATGTTCTAAAACTCAATTTCCACATTAACTATTCATATTGCTTCTCAACCCTATTATAACTTTGTATATTTTTTATCTTAAAAAAAAAGTTATAAGGTCATAGGTCTATTAAAGCTCACCCATAATCAATTTAATTAAGAAACTGAATGTAACATGAGCGTTCTTTTAAAACCGATATATGCATCCAACGGGCCTCTTTTAGTATATGCATATTTCTAAATTGTATAAGGCTGCTTGTTTTATAAAGAACAAAATCTACGTTGTTGTCAGAATGACATGATATTGGAAAGGTTTTGACCAATATCTCCATGCCCATGAGTTTGATAAATACCACCTCATTGGTTAGCACTGTTATGATGTCAATTTTTGGTTACAAGTTTGTTTTTACTTGGTATCATAGTCAAACCTCTTTTTTTCTAAATTAAGAAGAATGTGAATTAAAGTAATTGTTGTGAGTCGTTATCATTAAATAATAGTGTAAGGACAGGGAATTTATGCACTAGGTCCCTACAAAAATATTTATTGTCAAAAGTGGTGTACGATAATTGAATACCCCATACCACGAATGGAGATCAGATCTAGTTCTCACACCTTGCGCCTCACTAGCACCTCACACGCACATCCTACCATGCATTGGGAACATCTCCCATACTTATTAGTGAATATTCACGGGAGATGTTCCCAATGCATGGTGGATGTGCCTGTGAGGCACCCATTTGTGGGGATATTAAAACTCAATTCACTCTACTAACCCATCTACAAAAATGTCACATCATCCATATTTTATGAAATACATAAAGTGCCCATTGAGAAATGCCACCTTACCCATATTCTAAAATCCCCAAAATTTTCATTTCACATGTGACTGGTAATTTCCAATTTTTCCTTCCCTATTCCCCATGTTCACTCCCACCTTAATTTTCACCTCCGTTGAACAACCTAAACGTCTTCACTAAAAAATCTACAACACAACGCCTTTGACACTCT